ATTACATTTTACTCTATGTAGTACATTGTTATGCACAGAGATTTCCAGTAAATTTGAATACTTTCACTTCTCACAAACTGTCAGATTAGAGAGGAAATTGTCCACATTAGGGAGAGGAAATTACTCGATTAAACTTATTCATAGATTAAAAGTAAAGATTCAAGTACAGGGTTCAGAATTAGAATTTATAGCAAAACCATAGTACTTTAAATTTGTTTGCTTTTTATTGACATATAACATTTGTATTTATTATAGGGTACCATATTATAACTCATAATCTCATGAATATTTATAATATTAATGATTAAATTAGGATAACCCTCCATTTACAATCCTCTATTGGTCTCTGTTAACAGTTTCTATTGTGCATTCACTTGTCAATGGGTATCTCTTTTGCTTCAATCTCTGTCTGTTATGAACAGTGCTTCAATGAACATGGTAGTCCAGTTGCCTCTTGGACACAGTGATTCTTTCCCCCCTTTTCAGTAGATAGCCTAGGAGTGAGATTGCTGGCTCTTGTTTTTGTTCTATGCATTTGAAAAACCCCTGTACTGTTTTTCAATATCACTACACTGATGGTCTCACCAACCATGTATAAAAGTTCCTCTTCTTCCCTACCCTTGTGAGAATCCATTTTTACTTATTTTTGTTAATTCTTTAGTTGACATAAAGCATTAATACTTTATGTAATAATATGATAGAAAATAAGATTTTGACACATATCCATTGTGTAATGCTTAAATTAGATTAACCTTATCTATATTCTCAACCATTTATCTTTTCAAAACCCTTATAGGTTTTTAAGATGCACAGTGCAGAGTTGATATCTACAGTCACCCTATTGTACAGTTATAACACCAGAGTTTCTCGATCCTAACTGTAACTTAGTACTCTGATGTTTTGCAACCATTAAAAATAAAAATCCTTTATTATCGAACATACTAAAGTATGTGGGCCACTTTCAGCCCAAAGGCCATAATTTGCCAACCTCTATTTTCTGAGAATCAAATTAGCTGCTCACTTCTGCATATTTAACTATATTTCAAGGTACTGAAATCATAGAATGTGTAAAAATTTTCAACATTTATTACTTTTTATGTTTCTTTTCTTTACCTGAAGTGGCAAACTTAGAATCTGAAGGACATATATATTTATGCATATGTTTTCCATCATATTAATGAATAAACATATAAGTAAAGTATAGGCAATGAAAATTTCCCCCAAATGATTGTTTTGTATCTTTTCAACTCATAAATATACATTAATGGAGAATTGAAATTGTTGAAAATAAATCACCTTTTTTCCATTCATAATTAATAAATATGGTTCAAGAAGTTATAGAGCATGATCCAAAGGATATGTATTTATCTGATGGATCTGCTTTTTTAGAACATTTTTGTTCTCAAAGTCTCAAACACTTTTTTTTTAATTGTGTAAATGAGAATATCCATGAAGCTTCTTAGTGAGGGCCTCTTTGCTGTGTTTCTCCTTTTAGCCATTGCAGATATATGATGCTTGCTTGTGTTTTCTGTATCTAGCTAGAGAGATTGCAAGCTGAAAATTCTTCAGGGTGGGACAACACAGAATTACTGGAAACAGAAAAGCAAGGACTGGAGAGAGAAAATAGAAGACTAAAAGTCCAGTTGAAAGAAATGGAAGAGCTCCTGGATAAGAAACACAGATTAAGTGCAAACTTTCAAAGTCCTGATGTCAAAACATCACAAGTTGAATTGCAAGAAAAAAACAAGGTGTGGTGCTCCTGGAAGTGCCTGTTCTCTTACTGTGTGTTTCCTTCTGATGCCTAGGTGGGTGCTGCTTTCTCTCTGGTCCACCTCCAGATCTGCATATTCCCTTTGTGCTAATATTTGACTGCTGGCTCTTTTGTTTTTCCATTGTAATAAATAAGAATAGCGTTGTTCATGTATCTGAAATAGAGTGTAAAATTTTTGGATGAAAATATGAGAATATGACAAAGGAAGAAAAGATGAATCTTATTTTGCTTTCTATTATAGCTTTGTGCTAGCATTTTCTAAGCTATTAAGCTTATTTCCAATAAATATGCTTATGTACTAATTTGAGCAACTCTGCAACAGCATTTTGTACTTATGATAAATATTTGCATAAACATTTAAATTTACCTGAGGCTTACTGTTCTCTGATTCCATTTGGGTCTCACAATCATTATTTTGAGTCAATTAAATGCATCTTTTTTTTTTTTTTTTGCTAAGATCTCTTACAATCAAAATGTGAAAAGCAAGATTAAATTTGAAAATTTAACTTTGTGGCCAGGAATTTAGTTCAGTGATTCCACTGCCTGCCTCACAAGTAAAAGGTCCTGAGTTTGATCCCTGGTACAAGAAATAAAAAAAAATAAAAATTTAACTATGGCAAATTTAGGTTGTTTGCATGTTCTTTCATTAGCCAATAGAGATGGGACCTAAGGGAATATTTTTCTTTTTATAAATAGATAAACTGTAGCTTTTTAAATGTACTTTCAGTGATAAGACTTAAAACTATAATTTGTATAGTTTATTATAAATATTCAATATATATATATATATATATACACACACACACACACAACTTGCTTCCAAATTATTCCATTACAGTATCTACAGTATCTAAATGGTACAATTCAAAATTTTATTCGATTCTTTTAAAAACCTTAAAAGTGACTGATAATTCTAAAAGTTGTGAATTATGTAAGTTGTTCATACTCTTACAAACTCTAAGAGCTAAGTGGTCAAAACATTTAATTCAATATCACTTTTCCTAATTCCTTTATGATTTTTAGGATGTATTATAAATTCAAGATTAAAATGCATTCGTGCTTCATGGCTTGACAATACAAATGTTTAAAGCTAAATGTCATAGTCAGTGATTATAATTGTACAGATTCATTATCCATCCTAATAGTATATTTTGTTCTGAAATATATAAAACTCACAAATCTGTAGAAAAACTTTGTCCTGATTTCTGAGCAGAATCTTCTCAATTATGGAATGTGGTTTGATAATCAAAATACACTTTTCTGTTTGATTCATTTAAATTGGAAATGCATGTATTTATGTCATTTTTGTGTCAGCAACTACTCTAGACTCTAATGAGTGGAGATGAATGAACCTTCAACCCTGTGGGAAATGTGTTTAGAGTCTTTGTAGGCAGTCACACATATACAACGCATCAATATGTTTGTAAACAATAAAGTGGAATGGGAATACAGATGTAGAAGTAGCTCATCCTACTTAATTTTGAGACCTTTCTAGTTGTATCAAAATATCAGGATGTAAGATATGTCAGTCAGGGAATATGAGGGTTTACGGCAGCTGTTTGGAGCTGGAGTAGGTGCTATGTGTCCTGTCAGCAGGGTACATCAAGGTCAGACCTGAACTGCTGGGGATGAGGCACAATTGAGAAACTGTAAGATTCTGGGAAATCTAGCCAAAATGGTGGGTCTGTTCAACATTAGAAGACTGTAAGATGGTTTAAGTTTGATGGTCACAGGGAACATTGGTGATTTTTATCCACTTCATTAAGAGTTTAGATTACAGAAACCAAAATAATCACCTATTATGTACCTGCTACAGGTCAAATCCCTACCATCACAAAAGCTCAAAATGTCAAGATTCAGCTGTTCCCAAATGCCAAATGAATCAGAGATATGTAAAAATCATGTGAAAATCCAGAGGATAAGTTAGACTTTATCACAATACAAGACATGATTATAATGTTAACATTGTATATATGATATTGTGTATGTATATATACTTATATGTCATACATATGTATCATTTCTCTTGTCTTTTTTGTCTCTCTCTATATATTTCTCTGTATATATTTGTGTAGGCATCTGTGTGTACCATATACAGTAGGATCTTTTCCTTCATTTGTTTGACTTCCATGTTACAGGTAATATATTTTTTAAGAAAAATAAATATCAAATTTAAATTGCACAATTAATACAAAAGCAAAGATTACTATTAATATCCATTTAGTAGTCACAGTTATGAAGTATATTTAGGGATATGTATACATCGTTCTTTTTAATTTAAGAAAACCAGCAGTACATCTGATCTTTTTATGTGTAGCTTAGAAAATTGGCACTGAAGCATTAACTGTTTTTAAAGCATAAATTACTATCATAGACTTTTCTAGAACAATCTCGGCATGTAGACCTTATGCTTTTTTGTAGTTACTGCAAATAGTGTCACTGTTCATGGTTCCATGACATTAGTGTAATTCACAAAACAAGGACATCAGACAAGAGAATTTCAATGTCAGTATTTCTCAGAATGTAGCACTCATTTTAAACAGTGGCAAGACTTTTGAAAATTATCTTTATAAAGACATAAGTAAATCACAGTATATATTTTAAGGAGAAGATAATGAATATATATTTGAAACTCATTCTGCAGCCATTATTAAATTATATTCTTGGTATATAATTATTAGGATGTGTACCTCACCCAACATTTTTAAAAAATCAATCTATATTTAGGAATATATAAAAATTGAACTATTAGAGTAATTGATATGATTATTTTTTATAAAAATCTGTGGTACATTCAGAAATTTAATTTAGTAGTATGAACTATTAGAAAACTTTCTTAGTTTTCTTTTACAGCATCTAGGTAAATAAAAATTCTGTATAAAAATTGGAGTGGTATAAAGAGTAGTATATACACTGCACATTGTAATATGAAAACAAATTACTGATGTTTTATGTTATGGTTTATAAAATACATTAGCGCAATAATCTATATAATTCAAGATAAATTTATAACACTATACAAACAAAATGAACACATGCCAAGTATTTCATTTTACTCAATTCTCAATGAATGAACCAGCAAGATATATATTATACCCAGATCATAGGATAATGTACATATAAAATTGTTGGGCATTGAAGAATATGGAAATAAAAGTGCTTAATAGATGGATATCTGGGTTTTTATAGTTTGTAGGGGAACAAATTCCTCTGTCACCTGACATAATTCTCTCATGTATGGGAGGAAATCTTTTGAATTGCTACAGATTGTACACATACTATATGGAAAAACAGGTTAAATATATTCAAAATTGTAAGAATGTGTAGCATCTTCCTTGGAAGAATACATTAAAATGACCTAAAATCTTTATTGTCAAAATTTTACCTAACATTATGTTATCCAATGTGACTGCTTAATAAACTTTTACATATAAATGTATTAACAAACCCTTGGGAAGTAATACTCATGCCTAGGAACCAGCACATATTTTCTATAAACATCAAGATTGTAAACAAATCAAGACATTTGGTTCATATAAGAGCCTATTGCATTTTTTTAAAATTTTAAGCTTTCAAAAATTTAGAAAATATTCTTCATTCATGAGGTGTAGAGCTGCATGGGTATATGAGACACAGCTAGGCAAACCCTATTTTAGACCAATGGCCCATAGGTTCCAATATGTAGAAATGGACAAGAAGGAAAGTGTGTGACCAAGCTGGGAGCAGAATGACGGAGCACAATAGCAACTCACACTTCCTCTCACAAACTAGGCCTTCAAAATATTCTTTAAATGAATGAGTTTAAAATAAAAGAAATGAAGGTTTAGGTAGCAGATGTAAAAGCCGACATCCGTGTGTTGTGCCTGATCTTACAAAGAAAATTTTCCAAACCTTTTATCATTGTTCTTTAGGTTAGCTGTGGGTTTTCACATGCTGTCTTCCATCTTAGGGAAATCCCTCCCGACCTTGCTGCTTTATGGAATGTTGCGCTTTTCTCCTTGAAATATTACTGGGTTTTGTCAAATGTTTCTCTGTATCTTCTGAGATGATGTGTTCTTCTTCCTCTTCCTTCCTTCCATTACCATAGTGTGTTTTTGTTTTTGTTTTTGGGATGCTGAGGATGCTCAGTAAGCACTACTCACGGGGCTACCTCTCTATCTCTAATATAGTATTTTAAGTATTTCTCTTACATTAAACTATGCTAGCATTTTGAGATAAATCCTATTTGCTCACAGTGTAAATTTTTTAAATACACCGTTGGATTTTTTCTCCAAGTATTGGGTTTAGGATATTTTCATCGATATTTATAAGGATAATTATCTGTAGCTTTTCTTCCTTGTATTCTATTTTCTGGTTTGGGTCAGGATAATACTGGGCAATGAGAAGTAAAAGTACCATAAAGATTTTTTTTAACCTTATAAAAGCTGTCTTTTTCTTCTTCAGTGATTGTTTAGTTTTCTAAACATTTAACTGCTTTCCAGAATTCTGACAAAGTTGCTTGTCAGTGTTTTACTTATTTTTTCATTACTTCCACTGAAAAATTGATACATCAATCTAACTACTCTGCCATTTGTTTGCTTACATGTTGTGGAACATATTATTAATCTTAGGAAATCTAAACTAAATATTACCAAAGTCTTTGAATGCATTCTGTTCGATTGTGTCATTTAAAAAAAATTTTAACTGAAATTTTAGCTAAATGATATTTTCTCTTTACACATTTTCTTTTTCAGACTTGAATATAGTATCAAACATTAAAATAATTGTAACACCTTATAAAATAAATGTAATATTGATTTTGGTCATCATTATATTCAAGCAATAAAATTTGGCATGAAATAATATACATGTTTATTTGTGTATATGTTTGTTAGCTTTCTACCTTTGTAACAAAATACCTGAGACAATTG